AATGAAAAATGCTGGTTTTAAAGAAAACATCTGGAAATCGATCTTGTCAGATGATTGCAAATCAAAAGGCCCTGATGACAGTAAAAATGTTGACGGCTGCAACCCCCGTGAGTTTTCTAAGAAGTCACACCAAGTGCATCTTCCTTCTATTTTGTTGTTTAATAGGTAAAGGTTCATATACTGGAGATACACACGTGTATGGAGAGAGAGAGACTAAATAACACATAAATGTTTATACATTATGTGTATTTATATAAAAACATATTTATATATAATTATTGAACACAATAATTAATTTCATTCCATGTCATTCCATGTTATTTATCAGAACTCAGAGAATTAAGATGCAGTTTCTGCCCACAAGAGACCCACAGCCTGACAAGGAAAATGGACATGTATATATATATATAATGACTATAACCTAATATGACGAGTGTTTATGCATAAAGCGCTCTGGGAACAGAGGACAGAAGCCTCTTTTTCCATCTGGTCTGGGAGGCAGAAATGAGAGGATCGTTTCCACAGAAGCTGGAAAGAGGAGGTGTGTGGACCTGCCAGCTGTCTTGGGCTGGAGGAGGTGAGGGCCGCTGTTCCGAGAGAGGCATCTGCACCACTGCAAGCTCCGTGGCACCAGTGTCCCGAGGTCGGCAAGCCCTCTGGTGTGGGACGACCAAAGGCAGAGAGTGCAGCGAAATCTCACCTGGATGTTTTACAAAATCTTTTATTCTTTCTCTTTGGTTCTCCTCTGTGGCAAACCTCCCCACCAGTCCCCTCTGTAGAATCTCCCCTTCCCCCACACTCTAGGCATTTTCAGGGTGCAGAACACCTAGGAGTGTGCCCTATCCCACATTACCAAACCTCACCATGTAAGGTTATTCTAGGGGATACCCTTTTGCACAACTGAAAATCCTCCCGGCCCACCTCCCTCTCCAGGCTCTGATCAGCTTTTTTTTTTTTTTTTTTTTAATTTTATTTATTTTTCCCCCCCAAAGCCCCAGTAGATAGTCGTATGTCACAGCTGCACATCCTTCCAGTTGGTGTACGTGGGACCCGGCCTCAGCATGGCCAGAGAAGCTGTGCGTCGGTGGGCGCCCAGGATCCGAACCCGGGCCGCCAGCAGCGGAGCGCACGCACCCAACCGCCAAGCCACGGGGCCGGGCCTCTGATCAGCTTTGCACAGGGGCCCCCAACACCACCAGCTCAGCCAGCTGCTCCCCTCTCACTTCCCGCCTGGCCCCGTGTCACCTGCAGGAGGCTACTCAGGGCTCTCCAGGTGCACGTAAACAACCACAGGGCCATTCCGGCCAGGGCAGCACAGAAGCAGATAATAAATGCTTCCCCCAAACAGACTGGGCCTCAGAAGGTCCCCAAGGGCCCAGCACCGCATGGTGGTCGGCTCGACAGCCATCTCAGTCTGTCCGTTCACTCCCTCCCTCTCTCGCTCTCGCCCCTCCCTCACTCCTGCTCCCTGGGGCCCTGTCCTAGTAAATGACCCCAACCCAAGTCTTTGTCCCAGGCTCAGTGGGGAGGTCCGAGACAGCTGTTCCAGACTCGGGGAGCTCTGGAAAGCAGACGCCCTGCGATCTTGGTGGCTTCTGACCCAAAGCTCTTAACATTTTGATATATCTCCTTCCAGTTTTTCTTCTACAGACTTTTTTGCCAAAACCAAGATCATGCTAATATAAATAATTTTGACTTTGCTTTTTTCAGTTAAAGTTATAACTACAGTAGTTTTAAGAACTCTTTGAAAATCCGACTTTAGAGACTGAATAAGATCGCCTTGAATATGGATTATACGGGTGCACACCTATCATCATTAGACACTTAGGATTATTCCACTTTTTTATTTTAAAAAATGCTGTGATTAATATGATTTTTCAAAAATATTCCCAAAAAGTATTAGTGAGAAGATTATTCCAAAAGTATAAGCACAAGGAACATTTTTAAGAGACTCGTCCTAAAACTGCTTGTCTAGGCGTAATTGCAGTCTTACTGGCCGTAAAGGTGTCCACAGCCCAGAGTTCAAGTCCCAAACGATGACACTGGGCAGTCCAGAAGAGAGAAGAGTCCCTGGAAATGGGCTCGAAAGTATTCAGATCAGAATAATTTTCACAATTAAAGAAAATTTAATTTTTCGCTCACGTAATAAAAGATTATATCAGATTTTTCATTCCTTGGAAAATCAGAGAGAACTTAATAACAAATACCATAATTAGCTGCAAAGACTGATTTGTGATTAAATTATCAGGAAGGAATGCCTCCTAAAACTATTTCTTTAATTAGCTAAAGCTGGCAGTATATATTAATATTTCCAGAGATATTTGCATACACTCACAACAGGCTAACCAGATATTAGGTGAAATATAATTTTTCTAATGTTATGTTAGGAATAGTTTTAAGATTAAATCATATTATCCTGTTTTTTCTATGATTATTAGAGTAGACACTTGATTTATTATCATAAATTCTCTAATTTAGAAGCTGAATATGCTTCACGTTGTCCTTGATGAGATTTTTTGATTCCATTTACAAATAGAGGAAGGCTCTCTTGGAAGCCAAGATCTGCTTGGCAGAACATGACTTTGAATAATCCGCGTGCCCAGACTGCTCAGGGATGATTGGAAGGAAGTCCACCCTGCTGTCTAGCTGGCAGCACTCTCAGCTACTCAGACCCCTACGAGCAGAAGCAGGAAAGGACACTGGGTAGCAGTGAGCTGGGGGACGGGTTGGGGCACGGGTGGCGCTGGGTTCCCACAGTGTGGGACAAGGAGTAGAGCCTGTCAACAAGGATTCAAACCACAGTTAACAAGTCCTCCTGAGCTGTGCCCCAGCACGTGTGGGCGTACCTGCTTGGAGCTGACGGCACATTCGAATAGGACTACTCGGAGACGGTTTCATAGAGGGATCCGTTACAGAGGTGTGGAGCGGCCACTCGAGATCATCACAGCAAGGCTCCATCACCACAACCAGGCGAAGCTCGTGGTGAGACCCTGCAGGAGACAGCCACCGAGACAGGAGTGGGGCCAGCTCCAGAAGGCCCCACAGGAGAGATGGGAGAATAGACTCTGCCCTCGCTGCCCTCTCCTCCTCCACCCTCCTGCCTGGGTCCCTTTGGCCAGACCCAGCAGAAGCCAGAGGGCAAGAGGCCTGCTGATGTAGCCCCCACGGTCAACGTCCAGGCCTGAGAGGACAGTGACCTGAGGAGACCGGAGGCGGCTGGGCACAAATGAGGCGTTGGACGTGGCAGTAACTGCGTCGCTGCGTAGTGACACAGAGGACGCCGCCTGGAGACACGCCCGTGCACACGTCCCAGAGCCAGCTCATCTGTGACAACATGTGCCTGCTTCCTCGCTGGAGGACTCTCTCGCCGTGGCCATGATTTAATGAAGCAGTCCACCACCAGCAAGAGCAGAATATACTTTGAGAACCAAAACAGAAGCTTCCAAAGGAGCCCAGGCACTGTTATAAGGGGTAGCTGGGCCTGGGCCCTGGGGCCGTGGTCCCACAGCAGGCAGAGCTGGCGCTGGGGTTGGCCTCTGCGCAAGAATGGGCCCTGGCCCCAGGGGGCTCCCGGTTGTGGGGCTGACTGCCATGTCCCCACAGCTCGCTCTGCACAGGGAGGGAGAGACATATGAGGATGCATGGAGGTGCAGGTGCACGGAGAAGGGACCTGACTGGTCTGTAGGAGGCTTCAGGGGGAGGGGACAGCAGGAGGACGTTGGGGCATTTCCTGACAGCTGCCTCCCAACCATGGTGGCCCTTGCTTGGCAAGGCTGTTAGCTCCAGGCCCATTCAGGCTGGATGCTGGGTTCAGTTCCAAGAGTTCACTCCAGCCGGGCTTCTAGGACCAAATGGGCAGGAAGGCAGGGGATAACATTCATCTTGACCCTCATGCAGAACCATAGCAAGGAATCTTTTTTTGTTGTTTTGTTTTGCTGAGGAAGATTGGCCCTGAGCTAACATCTGTGCCCATCTTCCTCTATTTTGTATGTGGGACACCTGCCACAGCATGGCTGACGAGTGATGCGTAGGACCACGCCTGGGAGCCGAACCTGCAAATCCCGGGCTGCCGGAATGGAGTGCACGAACTCAACCACTATGCCACGGGGCCGGCCCCACAAGGAACAATTATTTCTGTCACCTCCTCACCTGACGATGGCCTTCAAATAACATTTAGATGACATCTCTGTGAGCAGAGACAGAAACAGAAGGCTGTGAGCAGGCGGCCCCGACTGGGGCAGGAGCTGCTTGCGTGAGGGTGCCCGCTCCTGCTGTCCCACCCCACAGAGCCCAGGAGAGGCCCGCACCGCGATGGAGGACAGGGACACCAGGTCTCTAGGGGCGTTTCCCACAGAGGACAATGAGGAGGGTTGGTTTCCACACCTCGTCCCGCAAGGTCCTTTTCTTATCCCTCCCCACTCCCACCTCCTCTTCCAGACAAACCACACTGAAACGTCGTGGAAAGGAACAATTTCTGTGGTCCTCACCGAAACGTCACAAAGCGTTTGCAGACTTTCTATCCCGCCTGGAACCCCCAGGTAGAGACTCAGGTCTGTGCCCAGGCTCAGAGACTGACCATCCCTTCACAGCCTTTTCCTGTAGGAGGACGCGGCTGGGCTCAGGGATGGACAGAGAAGGCGCAGCAGCCCGAGGGAAGTTGGGGCTGTGGGCATGCGGGGCACCAAGAGGCCTTCCCATCCACGGGGGCCTCTGGAACCTCTCAAGACAGATGCGACCACGGCAGAAAGTCCCCAGGATCAAAGCAAAATGTGTCCCTGAAAAGATGCTTTCCCATCCAGAGAATGAAAAATTATTTTAGGAATTAAAATGCAATAAATTCAAATTACAGTCTACCCAAATCATGATACTAAAAAGGAAATATAATATTCATACTCAACTTGTCATCTTAATTAATTTGTCTGTATTATTTCAGGAGTTCTAAAAAAAACAGGGCAGTCATCAACTGAAATCGGAGGTATAAATAAGCAATTCAATTAATTCACTATCCACCTAAGCAGATTTATGGGAGGAAAACCTCTCCACTGGGAGGAAAAGCGGGCGAGACAAAACACTCCCAGAAAAAAATATTTGAGAAAAATTGCTTTAAAATGTGTAACTTTTTAAAGTTATTATACAATATCATCCAATCTGACATTTCAAAGCATTTCAGCATGCTTTTTTCTGGAATTTTTTTTGAATAAACTTTCTTTTTTAGAGCAGTTTTCACAGCAAAATTGAGTGGAAAGGACAGCGTTCCCATATACTCCCTGCCCACACACACGCACAGCCTCCCCCACTATCAACATCCCCACCAGAGTGGTGCATTTGTCACAACTGATGAATGTACAGTGACACATCAGTATCACCCAGTCCCCAGTTTACGTTAGGGTTCACTCTTGGTGATGTACATTCTGTGGGTTTGGATGAACGTATAGTGACACGTATATGGTGTAGTATGATACAGACTATCTTCACTGCCCTAAAACAACTCTGTGCTCCGCCTATTCACCCCTCCCCCCAGCCCATGGCGAAACTGTCTCCGTAGTTTTGCCTTTTCCAAAATGTCATATAGTTGGAATCACACAGTATGTAGCCTTTTCAGATTGGTTTCTTTCACTTAGTAATATGCATTTAAGTTTCCTCCATGTCTTTTCATGGTTTGGTAGCTCATTTCTTTTTATTGCTGAATAATATCCCACTGTCTGAATTAGCACAGTTGTGTATCCATTCACCTACTGGAGGACATCTTGGTTGTTTTCAGGTTTTGACAGTTATAGATAAAGCTGCTGTAAACATTGTGTGCAGATTTTTGTGTGGACATCAGTTTTCATCTCTGTTAGATAAATACCAAAGAGCGCAATTGCTGGGTCATATGGTAAGAGTGTGTTAGCTTGGTAAGAAACCACCAAACTAACTTCCAATGTGGCTGCACCATTTTGCATCCCCGCCAGCAATGAATGAGAGTTCCTGTTGCTCTGCATCCTCACCTGCATTTGGTGTTGTCAGTGTTCCAGATTTTAGCCATTCTATTAGGTGTGTTGTGGTATCTCATTGTTGTTTTACTTTGCATTTCCCTGATGACATTTGATGTGGAGCATCTTTTCGTGTGCTTACTTGCCATCTGTATATCTTCTTTGGTGAGGTGTCTGTTCAGGTCTTTTGCCCATTTTTTAATTGTTTGTTTATTTTCTTATTGTTTAATTTTAAGACCTCTTTATATATCTTGGATAATAGTCCTTTATGAGATGTGGTTTTGGAAATATTTTCTCCAGTCTATGGCTTGTCTTCTCGTTCTCTTGACACTGTCTTTCACAGAGCAGAAGTTTTTGATTTTGATGAAGTTGAACTTATCAATCCTTTATTTCATGGATCATGCCTTTGGTGTTGTATCTAAAAAGTCATCACCATGCCCAAGGTCATCTAGGTTTTCTCTTGTTATCTTCTAGGAGTTTTATAGTTTTGCATTTTACATATAGATATACAATCCATTTGAGTTAATCTTGTGAAGAATGTAAGGTCTGTGTCTACATTCTTTTTTTTTTTTTTTTTTGCATGTGGATGTCCAGTTGTTCCAGCACCATTTGTTAAAAAGACTATCTTTGCTCCGTTATATTGCCTTTGCCTCTTTGTCAAAGATCAGTGGACTATATTTATGTGAGTCTGTTTCTGGGCTTCCTCTTTGTTCCGTTGATCTATTTGTCCTTTTTTTTTTTTCCACCAGTACCACACTGTCTTGATTATTGTAGCTTTGTAGTAAGTCTTGAAGTCGGGTAGTGTCAGTCCTCTGACTTTGTTCTTCTCTTTCAATGTTGCGTTGGCTGTTCTGGGTATTTTGCTTTCTGTAGAAACTTTAGAATCAGTTTGTCAATATCACAAAATAACTTGCTGGGATTTTGAATGGGCTTGCATTGAATCTATAGATCAGGTTTGAAGAACTGACATCTTGACAATATTGTGTCTTCCTATCCATGAACACGGAATAGCTCTCCATTTATTTAGATCTTCTTTAGTTCCTTTCATCAGAGTTTTGTAGGTTTCCTCATATAGATCATGTACACATTTTGTTAGATTTATATCTAAGTATTTCATTTGAGGGGTGCTAATGTTAATGATATTGTGTTTTTAATTTCAAATTCCATTTGTTCATTGATAGTATATAGGAAAGTGATTGACTTTTATACATTAACTAATTGTTTCCTGAAACCTTGCTATAATTGCTTATTAGTTCCAGGAGTTTTGTTTTATCTTCAGTTCTTTCTGATTTTCTAGGTAGACGATCACGTCACGTGTGAACAAAGACAGTTTTATGTCTTCCTTCCCAATCTATATACCTTTTACTCCCTTTTCTCACCTTAATGCATCAGCCAGGACTTCCAGTATGATGTTGAAAAGCAGTGTTGAGAGAGGACAGCCTCGCCTTGCTCCTGATCAGCATGCTTTTGAGCAAGAATTTTCTCTTATCTTATTTCCTTTCTAAAAATAACTTGTTTTAGTTACTTCTTTTGAGTGATGGTATAATTTCAGAAATGGCTATACTTGTAACCTTTACATCACATAATGAACAGCCAAAGCTGCTTTTGTTTTTGAAGAAATTAGAATGTTTTGTTTTAAATAATTTGGAGCCTCCCATGGGTCCCACAGCAGGACTTCCCCTGGGAAAGTGGGGCCAGTGTTGCAGATTCACCGGAAAGGATCACACCCACACTGGATCCTGAATCCCCTAAGCCCAGGTCTCATCCTTCCCAATGCGCCCCCAGGGTGGAGTCTCAGGACTGCAGGACAAGGCCCTGCAGCTCCTCACAGAGATACTGTCCCATGCCCTGCCTCTGCGCCAACACCAGCTGGGCACACACCCCTCCCCGTTGAGGGTGCTGTCCCTCCACTCACCCCCAGCTCTGGTCTCCAGAGAGCCGCAGCAGGAACAAGTTGAGCGGAGTGGAGCCGACGCCTCTCCCAGCAGCCGGCCCTCTCTGTGCTGGACCCTGAACCTCTGCCGGTGCCCAGTGGCTCCTCAGCTCCTCAGGCAAACAGGATGTCTGCTTCTGGCTGCATCCATGGCCTCACTGGCCTCAAAACCAGCCCAAGGCCTGGATCACCAGGCCCCCATTTCTTAGAGGTACTTCAGAGTCTTGAAATAAGAAGTAGACATATACCATTAAAAGGAACATTCTACTTTACAAAAACAGTCAGGAGGAAAAAGGGGAGAGACCTGCCCTCCTTCTCAGTCACCTCTTTCTTCTCCCAGAGACTCCTGGACACAAAAATACCAATAGGATGTGTGCTAGTTACCATGGACCCACCTTAGGTGGGCGGTCATAGTTTGTGATAAGTAAGCAGAAGCCTGAATGCCCAGAAGAAAACAACTAGTCCCAACTCTGGAGAAAGAGCACTTCAGATGGAGCAGCACACGCAAAGAACAGAGGGAACATGTGCTGCCATACACACACAATGCGTCAGAGAATGAAGAGAAGGGAAACACCACATTATGCATATGCGTATAACCTTGACACCAAACCACAGAGGGGCGGCCCACGGGAAGAAAATGACAGCCTGATCTCAATTATGAACACAGATGAAAAACCTCAACTTTTAGAAATTATTCAGCAATATAGTATATTATGTATGTATACATACCACACACACATACACACACCACACGCACACCACACACAGAGACATATACACCACAACACACACACACACACACACACATCCTCTACTGCCATTACTTTGGTTCAGGCTTTCCATGTATGTATTAGAATGATTTTTCTTTAAAAACAAGCTTGGAGGAAATTTCTCCCGCACCCGTGAAGGATAAAGTGCTATGGAACTTTCCCTCCCAGTGTAAACTAGAAAACCAAGAAAAAATATGTAAAACAAATGTTTTCAGACATTGAAAAACAGGCAGCACAAGACTGGGATCACTGAGGGAAGGGAAACAACAGTGAGCCTGACCACTGCCCCAGCTTGCCCACAGGCAGCCTCCAGGACACGGTGCAGGCAGAGAGCCAGTGGTCTCGACAAGCAGAGAAGAGGGAGGTCAGAGGTTTGGAAAGCCGAGGCCACTAGAATCTGTGGAGCAGAGCCCCTGACAGGAGGAGCTACAGGGAGAGAACTTTGGAGACTGACAGAGGAGACCTCTTGAGTCTTTGGAGGAATAGTGATCTGTCCCTGGGGGAGGTAGACTCCAAGAGACCCAGGACAGCACCATCAGCACACAGCAAGTCAGATGTTCCCCAGAGTGCACCCAGGCTACAGAGAAGTCACAGCATGTGGAGCACCAGGAGGGTCCTCACATCCAGATTAGCCCAGATGAAAGGCTGCTCTGGATCTGCCCAAATAACCTGAGAAGCAGCCTCAACAGGTTCTAACTAATCTTGAGTAACCACATGCCAGGAAAAGGTCCAACTCTCTTTAAACTAGTACAACAAAACCCATCACACAACAACGTAAAATTTGCAATGTATAACATCCAGTCAAAAATTACCAGGTATTCAAAAAAGCAGAAAATATGAGCCATAACCAAGAGATAAGTCAATCAATAGAAATAGACCCAGAAATGACAGAATTAACAAACAAGGACGTTAGAATAGCAATTACAAATATGTGCAACAAGTTCAGGAATATGGAGAGAAATGGAAGCTATAAAAAGACCCGAATGGAACTTCTGGATGTACAAATTTCAAGATTTGAAATGAAAAACACACTGGATGGAATCTGGGACCGGGGCAGCAAATGTACAAGAAAAGTCTGGGACATGTCATGGTGTCAGAAAGTAAGACAGTGCTTTAAAAAGAAAACTGCAATAATAAAGGTATGTCAAAGAGATAGAGGAGCCAAGGGGTAGAGTTCACAATCACCAAAGCTGGAATAATGTGAGCCACAAAATCAATAAAGTAGTATTCCATTAGAACTCAAAGTATAAAATAAATATCCATACATCCATACTGACATAAATAAATGATTGAATAAATAAATAAATGGAGAGTAGGTGAATCTCCCATGCAGAAGAATTTCAAATAATTTAAGGAGCTAGAACATAATTCCCCACTCCTTAAGTGTAGACCACATATAGGAACTTCCTTCCAAAGAGTACAGCATGAAAAGGGATGTTTTTTAAAGAATAAAATTACAGTGGAGAAACCTAGCAAACACTACCTCAATCCGGGCGATCGAGGTCAACATCAACACTGATAAGTCATGCTGGTAATGTGGACCCTTGATACGACATGACAAGAATGGTGGCTTACCTCCGTGATCTTCCTCCCCAAAACACGTTACCATGGTCTAACCGTGAGAAAAACATGAGACAGATCCCAGTTGAAAGACAATCTACAAAATACCTGACCAGCCCTCCTCAAAGCTGCGAAGGTCACCAAAAACCAGGACAGTCTGAAAAATTGCCACAGCCTAAAAGGGACTAAGGAGACACGAGACTAAATGTAATGTGTCCTCGATGAGATCCTGGAACAGAGAAAGGACATTAGAGAAGAACTAAGGAAAGCTGAATAAGGTGTGAACTTTTGTAAATAATAATATATCGACACTGGATTCATCAGTTGTGACAAATGCACCACACTACTGTAAGATGCTAATAAGAGGGGAGACTAGGTGTGGAGTATACAGTAACTCTCTGTACCATCTTTGCAATAGTTCTCTAAATCTAAAAGTGTTCTAAAATAAAAACATTTATTTAAAAAATACAGTGGATGGGAACAACAGCAGATTAGACACTGTGAAAGAAAATTTTAGTGACTTGAACACTAGAAATGTGAACTGTCAAAAATGAAGCACATAAAGAAAAAAAAAGACCAAAAATTAGACATCCAACAAATGATACTGGAACAATTGGATATCAATTTGGTAAAACAAATCAAAAGGAACTTCAATTCTTATCTCACCATCATATAAAAAACAACTTAGGAGGATCATAGACCTAAATCTAAGAGCTATAACCATAAAGCTTCTAGGAGAAAAATCTTCGCAACCTTGCAAAAAAAAAAGAACCATAAGAAAAAAAATGGAAAATTGGACTCATCAAAATTTTAGACTTTTACTCCTTGAAATCTACTGCTAAGAAAATTAAAATACAAGCCACAGACGGAGAGTAAATATTTGCATAAAATATATCTGATGAAGGTCTTGCAACCAGAACGCATAAACTCTTTTGCAACTCAATAATAATAAGACAAGAAAAACCTATTTTATTTTAAAATGGACAAAACAAAAGAATTGAACAGATACTTCACAAAAGAACATAGACAAATTGCCAATAAGCATATGAAAAGATGCTCGACATTATTTATCATGAGGGAAATGCAAATTAAAACCACAATGAGATACCACTACACATTCACTAAAATGGTTCAAATTTAAAAGACTGGCAATGCTAAATGTGGGTGAGAATGTATAGCAGCAGAACCCTCATACACCACTAGTGGGAATACAAAATGATGCGGCCACTCTGGAATATAATTTGCCAGTTCCTTATAACGTTAAATATGTCTCACCATGAAACTCAGCTACCTCACGCCTAGTACTGACCCAAAAGAAAGGAAACATAATATCCCCATAAAGACAGGCTTGCAATTGCTCAGCTCTACTTGTAACAGCAAAAACTGGAACCAACCCAAATTCTCATCAACTGGTGAATAGCTAAATAAGTTGTGGTATATCCATATAATGGAATAGTACTCAACAATAAAAAAGAATGAACTACTGATACAGGCAATAACATGGATTAATCTCAAAGACATTATGCTAAGAGAAAGAAGCCAGACACAAAATTCTACATACCGTGTAATTCCATTTATAAGAAAGTCTAGAAAAGGCAGAATCTCAGGGGCTGGAAGGCAGAGAAGGGATTGACTGCAGGAGAACATAAGGAACTTTCTGGGGTGATGGAACTGGTCTATGATTGTGGTGGTGGCTGCATGACTGTATACACTTGTTGGAACTCACTGAATTATACAATTTGGTGAATTTTGTTCATGTGAATTTTACTATAATAAGGCTGATTTAAAGATATTTATCTTGCCACTACCAAGTGAAAACCCTATAACACTTCCCCACTGCCCACAATACAAAGTCAAGGTCCTACATGATCTGGTCTCTGGCTATCTCTCCAACCTCATCTCTGGATGCCTCCATCTCCTCTCTCCTCCCTCTGCAATCCCATACCCTCTACTGCCGCTGTAATAACACTTTGAAACCCTCATATCCAGTGTTTCTTTCTTCTGTATCCTCTGCGTACCAATACTTTGCCTAAAATACCATTCTCTTTAATCTTCCTCCTTCTACTGGTAAAGCCTCCTGTTCTTTAGACCCAGCCAGAAGCATTTTCAAAGGCCTAAGTAGGGTGTATCCAGGGAATGAGACATGGGTGCCTGATAACTCCCATACCAGTCGACATGGTACCAGAGTTCCTGCAAGGCAATATGTTCATTTTTTAAAATAAGATATATAGACTGTAAAAGATAAGATAATTATTAGCAGATCTTTATAACCGCTTACAAAAAAGATGAAAGAAAATTTACAATTAGAACTAATAAGAATGTTCAGCAAGGCCACTGCTTACAAGCTCAGCACACAGAGATGGAAGCATTGTTACACTTCAGCAATTACTAATTAGGAAATGTGATTTATAAAAGATCTCATTCAGAATAGCAGAAAAAGGTAAAAGAAAGAAAGAAACTGTAAGTTCTCTAAAATTAAATGTAACATAAGATGTCCCCAATATTTGTGGAGAAAGTTATAATAAAACACTATCAAGGACATTTTTTTAAAAAAACATGATTAAGTAGAGAGACGCACAATGTTACCAAAAGGGAAAACCTAATTTCGTAAAGATGTCAATGCTCTCCAAATTAATGTATAAACTCAAAGCAATTCCAACCAAAATGCCAAAGGATTTTTTTTGTAGAATTTGTAGAATGTATTCTAAAATTTATATGAAAGCATAAAGGTCCAAGAACAGTCAAGATGATTCTAGAAAAGAAGAACATGGAGGAAGGACTTTCCTCATGAGATTGTCAAGCCACCCTATAAAGCTGCAAGAGTTACGATGTGTGTTGTACAGGTCCAGGAGCAGAGACTAGGTCACGGAGCAGGAGAGAAAGCCCAGGAATAGACCGATAGACCCACCCACGCACATGGACAGCACTTGTCACACAATAGAGGAAGCATCACAAGTCAGAGGAGAAAGAATGACCATTCATGATTCCATAAATAATTCCAGGACGTTTGATTTTCTGTATTAGAAAAAATCATAGATCCCTACTTCTCAACAGGGACAATTATGAATTCCAAATGTATCAAAGGCCTAAGAGTGAAAAACAAATTAGAAAAAAATGTGCAAGAATATTCTAATAAACCACAGGGAAAGAGGAGAGAGATGTAACATAAATACGACCATACCAAAATGTAAAATTTTGGTATAAGACACCACAAACAGATTAAAAACAGTTAAGGCACAGACTAGGAGGAACTTACAACCCATAAATAATTAGTATCTTGATCTCCCTATGATCTCCCTACAAATCAATGAGGAAAAGAAAAAGAGCCCATTAGACCCAATGGACAAAGGCTCTGACGAGGCCATTCACAGGGAAGGCAGCCTGTGAAGGGGAAACGCAAATTAAAACAAGGAGATGCCCTTTCGCAGCCATCAGATTGGCCAAAACTAAAGCAAGAGTCACTCCCCTCAACGCTAGGAGGCTGGGGGTGGCGCTTCACCAGCTGCTGTGGGAGTGTGCTTGGTACACCCGCGCTGGAGAGCATCTTGGTGTTGTCTCGTCCAGTGGAGGAGCAAGGCTTCCCTCCTAAAGGCAAAGGCAACGCCACCCAACAGGCCTGTGGCCCCTTACCTCCTCCCCCACCTTCTTCCTGCGCAGAAGGAGGGTGTGAGGTGAACACGAGGACGTGAGGGACAGCATAACCGTGGAAGCAAATGTGCCAGCAACAGTGGGACGGAAAGCTGGGAGGATCCCGGGTCAGGGCAGCGTGGCTGACCCGCTGAACCGGCCATACATGCGTTCCCAGGATCACTTATTCCGTGAGGTCTTTGAAGACGGTGACTCTGGGTTTTCTGTGCCTTGTGTCTGAACACATTCCCAACCAACACCCAACTCCAATGTCCACGAACAGCAGAGTAGAAATGGAAAATATGGTGGGTGCGTGGAAGAAAACACAATACCAGTGTACGCCTGACCTGTACCAGTATTCTGAATCTGGTGCGAGTCCCCCCTCAGGCGACACTTAGCAATGTCTTTAGAAATGTTTGCTTGCCACCACTGGGGGTGGGGGATGGTGCTCGTGGCATCTGGTGGGTAGAGACCAGGGATGCTGCTAAACGTCCTATGACGTACAGGACAGCCCCACCACAAAGAAGCATCCTAAATGTCAATATTGCTGAGGTTGAGAAACTCTGCCCTAGCCCTACACACGCAGATGGGCCAGAAGAGCCTAATGTCGAGGGGAAAAAAGCGGATTGCAGAATATGACGCACAGTTTCATACTCCACATATTCTCAACAGGGGCAACATTGCCCCAGAGAAAAAACTGATTCTGGGGAGGGGATAGGGAGATGAAAAATCTTATTCTATACTATTTAATTTCTCTCATTAGGGAGAAATTAATTAAATTTAAAATTAATTTTATTTTATTTTCCTCCTGAACGGAACAATGATGGGAAAAGTTTGAAAGCACTGCCAGGCGTGTACATTTTAAAACATCCACAAACCGTACTCCAGTTTTCAAATATCTGTGCAAAGACGGTAGATTATAATCGTGGACTGAATGTGCATCTATTTCAGGGCTCAGGGACCCCTCAGGGGAGGGAGGGAGGGGACGGTACCATCGTGGGCTTCAGTTTTATCTAAAATGCTCTAGTTCTTGGAAAAAAGAAACATCAGAAGTAAATAGCACAAAATGTCAACACTTGGAGTGATAGATACGCTGGTATTTCCTATTTTTTATCTGTAATTTTTCATAACTTTATTTTAAAAGTGCAAAAATGATACTGAATTATTTACAGATGAAATGCATGATATCTGGAATTTGTTTTAAAATACTACAGCAAAAATATGGAGTGAGAATGGATGAAACAACATGAGCAAAATATGAGTTCTCTATTTCAGCGTAACAAATTACCCCAGAACCAGTGGCTGAGAGCAACAAGCATTTATTATCTGCCAGTTCCAGAGAGCTGGGGATTCGGGAGCAGCTCAGCACGTGGCTCTGGCTCAGGGTCCAAGGGTCAAGGCTGCATCATCTGAAGTCTGGACAGGCCGGACCATCCACTGCAGAAAGGATCCCTCACATGGCTGTGGGTTGGAGGCCTCAGCCCCTCGCTGCCTCCGTGTGGGCCTCCGCATAGGACCGCGGGGGACCTTCACGACAGGGCGGCTGGCTGCCCCCAGTGGTCCGAGCGAGGGCGAGGAGAAAGCGGCTGTGCTTTCCAGGAGCTGGTCTCAGAAATAGCACCGTCATTTGGCCACTCTACTATGTTGCAGCCAGTTGCTAAGCCCCGCCCACAGTCAAGGGCCCTTAATTAGGCTTCAACTTTGAAGGGAGGAGTGTGAATGAATTTGTGAGCACATTTTTAAATTACCAAACAGAGAGCCCTGCCCTTGACCCCAAAAGGAGGAAGATGTCCAACAGAGGCCTGGGGAGGAGGCCCCAATTCCAGCCAAACCCCAGGATTCCCGCTCCAGAGGCTGAAACTCCCCTTTCCACTAGGAGCACACACTTGGCTTCCCGGGGCCTTCCTGAGTCAGGACTCGGCCTCCGAGCCACCTCCTTTATCCCTGGGGTGACTTCACTGGTTTATTTTAATCAGCTAGTTTGAGAGCAGAAAATCATGTTGCAGAATAACTATTCTTGCAAGATGGGAGAGGGTCCAAGTCTACAAAGTCAGAAATTAAATGACTGTTCTTTTTCTGAGACATATGTTAAGCTAGTAGCTCATTAATCTTCTTTCTGCTCTAGGACTGTAACAACCTGGCTACTAAATCTTTAAGCCACTGAATCATTACTCTTTTATGATCCCCAACGCAAAGGCTCAGAGGGAAGTTCATCTTTCTTAAAGCATTCCAAGAGAAGCCGGTTCAGACAAGGAGACGGGATACAGTTGGATAAGACGGTTTTGATGAGTGTTGGCTGAGCAGGAGCACTGGGGCTGGAGGGGAACCGCTGACCAGACCAGAACCCAGAACCTGATGGGGGGAACAGAAATAGGAAAAGAGAAAACCACACAAAGCCGGGCTTTACATAACACTTACTGCAGTTATTTTGAGGTGACCAAAGTGACAAAAGTTCACTGGAGAAAACCCCAAAGACTCAGAAAAGCCTGAAGAAGAAAGCAAATCCCCTCCCCAGTCAAAGCTTCTAGGGAGAAAGCTGGTTACATTTCACCGGCCTCGTAGCCCAGGGCTAAACTCCGGCCCACCTGTTCCTGTCTGTTCCTTCTCCGTAAAGCATCTGAGCGCACTTTCGTGTCAGAACCCCGGCCTCGGTGCTTTCTCGCACTTCCTCTGACACGGAGGGTGGACCATCCCGCGTTTCCCCATCCCCCATGCATAGCTGAGAGGGTCGCCTGCTTGTTCTGTTTCCCTGCCTGCAGACACCCTCTGCAGACACCCTCTGCAGGCCCCTTCCCGCTATCCAGCAGCTATTGGGTGTGTGTGGAAAGTCAGAACTGCTGTGTG